GGCTACTGAAAATTCTGTAAACAGCTTGTGGTAATTTTCCGTAGCCCCCTTGTCAATATTCTCCGTACACTGTGGGAAAAAATCACAGTAAATCCTGTAGTGATTAGGACAGCTGTCACTGTAGTTCAGAGTACAGGATTTACTGTACTTTTTTAACAGGATCTACTGTACTTTATACGGGACTTACTGTACCACAGGGGTGGAGTACGGAATATCCTGTACCAGGTACAGTAGATACTGTAGCCAGGCACGGTAAATCCTGTGTTCTGAACTACAGTAAATCCCGGCAAAAAAATTAACGGGATTCACTGTGGTTTTTTCGCACAGTGTAGGCTCTTGCAGTATTTTCCGTAGGACCGCACAGTATTCTCCGTAGGACCTTACAGTGTTCTCCGTAGGACTATACGGTCTTCCAGGTACTACGGAGAAGACTGTGCGGTCCTACGGAGAATACTGTAAAAGCCTACGGAGAATCCTGGCTAAAAAATTAACAGAATTTTCCGTACCTTTTTGTCACAGTGGGTACGGACCGATCCGTACCGCTTTCCGTACGGTTACGGAATGGGTACGTTACAGTTCAACAGAGTGAAAAAGGCCAACAACTTGGGAGGTTGACATGCCAGGCAACACTGACATCGTTACTCGACGAACTGCACGTCGCTGAGGGTGGTGGAGCCAGCGCCGCCCTCCCAGCAAAAGCAGTCCACGGTGAAGAGATCGCAGTCTCCGTGGCAGCCGTGGCCCTGCAGGGCCTCCAGCTCGCGGCCCCGGACTCGTCCGAACAACTTGGAGCGCCCCCTGGACGGCATGTCCTGGAAGTACACCTCGAGGCGCCCCGCCTCGCTGAGCAGCACGGCACCCCTGGCCACTGTCTGGCCCGCCACGCAGTCCGGCAGCTTGTTCAAGACGCCGCCGAGGGCGCCGACGTCCGGGTCGCCGTGGGCCAGGACGGCGTCGGGCCCCTTCGTCCTGTAGTCGATCTTGACGTCCTCGAGAGCCGCGCACACCGCCTTCTTCTCCTTGACGGTGAGGTCGGCGGACACGGCCATCGTGATGCGCATGTCGCCCCCTTCGATGTACCAGCCGTCGTCGCCGTCGCGGCCCTCGACGCTCACCTGAGATAGAACCCAACACTGTGGGATAGATTGGGAACGAAGGCACCTCTGGCAAAAATATTGCCATGGGTTCCATTAAAAAAAATAACAAAAATTGTTCGTTCAAAAAAAAACACATGGCATCACGTGAATTTACGAACAGCGTCCGAAACTTTAGGTTGAATGTTTGCGGATTTACAAAGTGTCTATGTAGCCAAGAATTTTCGTAAATAATCAAAGCCTTTGGTGAATTTACGAAGGTGCCTTCAGCAATATTTTTGCCGGGGCGCCTTCGCAAATTCCACAGGTTCATATTTTCAGTGGAGATTGGATAGAGAAACGCAGGGTTGCCCCACTTGAGTACATACACCACTACACGCTCAAGTTATCAATGCGTCATCTTGAAACGAATTGGCAGAGCGAGCTTAGTTTTATGCCGGCACAGCGTTTCTTAGTTGAGAATTGAGCGTGCAGAGGACACTCCCCGCGTGCCTCTGGCGACTGGAAGACCCTTACCAGTAGCACGGGGGCCTGCACAACGCGCGCCGCGGTCAGCGGAGCCAGGAGTCGCTGCAGCCGCGCCGTTTCGCGGTTGGCCGTCGTCAACGCGGCCTGGACTTCCCTCTCCGTGGCCGCTCGGTCCGTCAGCCGGTGGGTGCCGCGACACGCGTCCCGCGCCGCAGACCAGCAGTCCTTGCACCAGTCCGCCCTGAGCACAGGGAAACAACCCGCCGTGAAACATTGTTTATCTCACACAGCCAGAAATGAAACATTCAGTCTGACAAAATTAACACGAGTTGTGTGAACATTGGAGACTCCAATGTTCACACAACTCGTGTTAATTTTGTCAGACTGTCAGAGAACTGTCCAAAATCCTGATCTAACTCGCACACCTCTGAAAGCTGAAATCTTGTTCTGACATTGTTTAGAGTTCAGGCCACCAACATCAGAATAACTTTTCAGAATATCTCAGCATCGGACTGGCAAGTCGAACACGAAAACCCTAAGAAAAGAAAATGAGCGAAGAAGAGGGAAACATCATTTTTTTAAATTTGCCCTATTAATAAACGGCATTTGGATTTGGGTTCCGCGCTTGATTTTACGCAAGATACCACATTTTTAGCTCAATCGAGTGCGTAGAGGCCTCTAAGAAGCGATTTTACAATTTTGATCAAATTGTGTGAAAAGTTGGCACAGAGAACGAAAACAGCCCATTACATATACGCAGAACCGTCCATGTTTGGACCCAAAAATGTTGTGGCCTTTCTCAGACTCACGAAGAATGGCGAAAAACAATGTAAGAAATCGTCATGTACTGGTAATGTACCAGGATCGGACTTCTTTGGGGCAAAAAATGCCTGAAAATCTGGCGTGCCCCAGACTTTGTACGCGATCTAGCACAAAGATGGAGCTTTTGCAGTTTTCGTAAGAAAAGTTCGTATGCAAAACAAGAAGGAAAGACATCAAAGAATTGATATCACATGGGAGGGACTCGTTCTTTACAAAGCTAGATTGATGTGTCAGTCGCTGATCGTTACATGAATTGTCCTCTGACGATTTGTAATTTTGCCTTTTAACGAACGCGTCCGGTTGGTTCACCTCTCAGGCAGGGAACATCGATGCATCGCGATATCTCGAGATATCGATTCTCGTGCATAATCGAATTTACACTAGAGTCCGTGAGTCCGTGCCAAAAACCTGCTTTTTCCATGACCAAAACCCTCAGAAGGACACATTTATTTTAGAAAACAGTCAAATGAAACTCATTGTTTCATCTCTCATCTCGAACATAAGACGTGCAACACCATCAAAAAGAAATTCATTAAGATGAAACAGCTTGCAGTTCTGAGACATGTATCATGGTTAGGGTCAAACAATGTTTCGTTATTACCAAATTTCTCAAAATTATCCATTGTCACTTGCAAAAAAACCTCCTAGATTTTTGTTGACCAAAGATCTCGTGTCAATTGTTGTTGTACTTTGCGTTTCAGTGGCGTTCAACATCAAAAGATACAGACACGTGAAAAGAGGTTAGTTTCACATAGTGCACTAAAAACGTCTCTCTTTCATGTTCATTTTCTCAATATTTCTCATGGCAAGTAAAAAAAAACTTCATTTACGATCTAGCGACTAACACTCCATCTTTCATTTGATACCACTCTCATTTTCCCACATGCTGTGAGATCTGAGATGAAAGATGTCCCCCCAAAACTCATTTTTGAACACAATACTCGTTCTCTTCACATAGAGTTTTGTATGTTAGTGAGTGGTGTGTAAAGAACGAGTAAAAAACACTGAAACGGCTCTTACAAATTTTAACAAATCACTTAGTGTGGAGGTGCTACTCACGACTGAGTCTTCAGCTTGCTGGTAGAAGTCTGCTCGCTGCCAGCCTTGCTGCTCCCCGCCGATGGCGTCCTCTTGCCGCGCCCCCACTGTGAAAAAAAGTACGTGTTTCGCGAGCAATATTTGTGCAGGTCGGCTCTAGTTTCAGATCCGAAGAGAGGTTAGTTTCCGGACAATATGGCGTCTGCTTGCTTCCGGTTCAGGATCTACGAAAGTACTCTATTGCGCCGTCCGCCGGGGGATGACGAGTGCAGTCCGAGGCGAGGAAGACTGCGCCTCAGGGAGACTGGTGCGATTCGTTTCACATGTGTATCACATTCAAGAGGAGGGTGCAGAAGGACATCTGAGTAGGGCTCTCGCTGGAAGTAGAGGGTCCTTGAACAATCGAAGCGGATGTGATCGATGCTCAGGTATAGTTTTGGAGGGAGTCAAAAATATAGGGTAAACCCGGGTTAACTGAAAACAGGCAAATCCCAGATTTTGAGTTTTAGGAAGTTTCTATCTGAGGCTCCCCAGGTATCAGTCACCATCGAAGTACCGTTAGGGCCTTAAAGCGTGACCCCTTTATAATGTAACCACGTGGCGCAAGTTGTCCTGACTTTGTTCAGTGATGGTTGGGGACGTACTTTTGACGTAACACCCTGTGGGAGTGATTCGTAACAGACTCGTTTAAAAACAGAACGTCGGTAGTTTTGGTAATTTTGTGCTTGAATCATTTCTCGAATCATTTCTCGAAGATGCATCTTCTGCCTTATTTCAGTACATTCACACAGCTCAGAATGTTTTTAAAGTGAGTTATTCTAATCCATCCCCCGAACCGAAATTGACAAATGTGAGGTAAGGGTCGACATAGCCGGTCAGATAATGATGAGACGGTCAACGGCAGCTGGTAATGTAGATTTTAAGGCGCCCGCAGGACATCCGAAGAACTGCTGGAGGAGATTGCATTCCGGACGGTATGTCATTTGATATGTAGGGTGTGATGTATGGACTACTCACCTGGCACAAGTTTGGCGCCGATATGCAGAATATTCTGTATTTGTAGAGATAATTCCCAAATCTGTTACACATCGCCCCACTCTCCCTTACCAGTTCGTCCAGCTCGCGGCGCGCGTCCTCCAGCTGGGCAGGAGCCCTTCGCTGTGCCACCACCGGCGTGCCGGGCCGCTTGACAGGTAGCGCGCCAGCCTGCCCACGCACCTCTTCTTTCGATGGCTGAACTTTCTGCCTCTTAATGACACAAATGCCGAAATGTTAGTACACCTTGGGTGACCAGTCTATCAGACTTCACCATTTCAAAAATTCATTTCATCCCACCTGGGCCCTTAGCTTCCCATCAGGGGAAGGGTATTTGGAACACTGCACCAAAGCCTCATCTAAAGAAGTTTTCATTACCTGTTCTGTGAAAGCATGTTGATCTGCTTGTTCGGACATCTAAAGTGTGAAGGGGAGAAAAGAGAGTGAAAACATTTTCCACAGAAACACAAAAGACTTGAAAAAAAATGTACCTCCGCCTTTACATCAGAGATGTCGGTTTCCTTTCTTTCATTATCATCCTTTTTCTTGTCATTCTGTAAGGAAACGATACGCCAAGAATGGATACAGTCGAAATGTACGTAATTCCACATTAAAAACAAATGTACCTTCTGTCCGTGCACGAAGAGCCTGCCGAAAAATGACGTCATCCTTTGTCTCAAAGACTGCTTACTGTGAGTGCCTTTTCTCTCCTTCTTTTTCAGATGACGCTTTTTCATATGCTTCCTCAGGATGTACTCATTTATTTGGAACTCCCCGCACACGACACACCAAAAATCATTCTTCGGTGCCTCTTGATGTGTCTGTCGCTCCACAGCAGGTATCTGCTGTGGGTCAGACGTGCTACGCTCTCCGATCACTTCATGTGATATTCCAGGCGAAAAACGTGGCCAGCTCAAATCGTATCCCATTGATCGGTCAAGTGCCCCGGCAGAGTTCAGACTGGAATAACTGCTGATACTGTCTGTTTCAGACGTTGAGTCATGAACACTCCCAGTGTCAAGACGGTACCCCCTTCCCCATCTGTGTGCCTCTTCCCCCTGTGCAGAATAAAACATAGACCAATTAGAAAATTTGATTTCAGTTTCAAGGGAAACAAAAACGAGAAAAGCTAATCACCAGCGAGGGCGACGGATCTCGTTTGCATTCCCGAGACGACTCCATCCGGGAGGGTGACACGTCTCGTGCACATTCCTGAGGCGTCTCATAAATATGAAAAGCAGACTCCCTCTGACGATTGGCCATTATGGGGGGTTCCAAAAGGCTGCGTAACCTGTAAGTTAGTGTCTCAATTTAGGGGTAAAAGTTTCATTCTATTACATAAACCCATAAGCTAAGACTAGCACACTGTAAGATGGCTGAAAAGAACCGTCATTAGAAAGGGACACACCGCACACACAAAAATAGCCTTAAGAGACACAAAATCCGTTAGGAGTGCCTAAAAGAGAACTGGTCCCCTTCCGCTAAAGTGAGCAATCTCACACCACTGCAAATGCAAAGGCGATACTTAAGTATCTTTTTGGCGATACAATTGAGTATCGTCAAAAAACGGCCGCACGGAAAAGTATTGCCTTCAGAACGGCGATACACAGAAGTATCGCCAAAATTTGGCGATACTTTTGGGTATTGCCATAACCACGGCATTAAGCTAAGGACTCGTCCCCTTGATTTGTTCAACGTTTAATGCCAAATCGTGGAAGTACTCCATAGTATCGCCAAGTTTTGGCGATACTTTTGTGTATCGCCGTTTTGAAGGCAATACTTTTCCGTAAGTCCGTTTATTGGCGATACACAATTGTATCGCCAAAACAGGTACTAAAAGTATTGCCCTTGGATTTGCAGTGAAACAGCGCGACATATTTATTACGCAAATTTTAAGTTCAGTATCATGAAGTTAACTTTCAGACATTTGAATGTGACATGTGGGTCGCTCGTTTGGACCAGAGCCGCATGCCCTTGAAGAGGTGGCCGCAATCCGCGCCGCACATGTGTATTCCCCTATACCCCTGGATGCTGAGTAACCCTTGGATAAATCCCTGTATGGTGCTGAGTACCCCCTGGATGATGCTGAGTACCACACAGTAAATGTCTCACGGTGAAAGGCTGCACCAACATAATATGGTGGAGATTTTCTCCATAATACCAACGAAATTCATCAAAATCTCTATAAGGTACAGTGAATTCTCAATGGTATGTTACGAAGTCAGCTGCACCACCATAATATGGAACATTTTCACCATAATATGGAGAATCTTCACTGTAGAACATTTAGAGTGCACATTATCATCGGCGCTGTTAGAATCTGAATCACGTGCGCTTTGGAGCTGAATTGAACAGGAGTCACGGTGAGTCACGGTCCATGTACGTTTCGTTGGCGCACCTGTGGAGACGAGACGATGTCCATACACACTGTTATTCCACGAATGTGTGATGTCACATTCGTCAAAATGTGAATTTTGTCACGTTCGTTTGAATGCGATGTCAAATTCGTTTGAACGTGACACGGCCATTATGCGTTCACCTCATAGCGGTAGTCACATTCATTTAAGCGTGGATCAACATTCAAACGAATGTGACATATTCAAACGAATGTGACAAAATTCACATTCGAATGAATGTGACCTCACATTCGTTGAATAACAGTGCAGAGATCAAGCTGTCTCAAACATTTACCGATACCACAACCACACTGAAGCTCGTAGGAGGGCACGGGCGCAAACCCCACTCCGAAATCAAATGCCACGAAGCTACGCACCACTGTCACTTTGCAACAAGAACGCAGCACAATAACCACGACACACACGACGCAAATCTGGGCACGAGCGCGCGATGGGGTCGGAGGGAATGACCAAACGCTGCGCGGAACGGTGCGTGTTGGCTCAAGCTAATCCCGACCTCGACTGACGCCACGCCGTCCTCCAGCCCCCTCCGAGGCCCCGTTCTCCTCATTTCTTCTCCCCACGCGTCACGGCCATCCAATGAGAGATCAGCGGAAATCACGCGGACTTGCCATGCGACCCTTGAGGTCCGGCGTGTCTGCCGCCGGCGCGCTCTCGACGCGCTCTCGGCGCGCTTGCAAGCCGAGCCCATGACCCGCATTCCAGAACACAACACCGCCCTTGTCCTTCAAGGCCGCAAGACGCGTGCGGCGGAGCCTTCGAACTGCGCGCGAAAAACACTGGGGAACACCTGCAAACTCATCTCCGGCAAAGAAGGTCGTGTTCCGATTTTGAACCGATTCTGTACGACCAATAGGAGAGGAGATACTGGATAAAATATCTTCATTCAAGGAACTTTCATGGAAGCAGATGGTGCTCGTCTGGAACTGTCCTGTGTGCTAGTTGTGGCAGTATGCTTCCTATCTCTGTGATTGTATATAAAATTGTAAATACACCGAGTCAGTTGTGCTGTGGCCTGCACCGCCGCGCCGTTCCCGTTGGATTGCGAGCGCCCGGTGCCGCTGGCTGGCGCTGTACCCGGGGGAGGAGTTGTCGATGTTTCGCGCAGACTGCGAGCCATGTGACACTTCACAATCCCGCCCGGCAGCCAGCCCCCCCTAACATTATTCTTAAGATACACACCTGGATTGTGGACTCTCGAGTAAAAGCTAGCTGACCCCTTTAAGTGTGTTGTATTGTTCTAGGTATGTTTTTAAGTAGTAAAGGTATCATCTGCTAAAAATATCAGGGGGTGGAAACTCCCTTGGCGGGGCTGAAACCATGCCCCGGGCGGCTCGCCACGGCCCGGCCCCCTTTCCCGGGTGGCCGGGAAAGGGCTGCGCCGGCCACCATTATGCTTGCAAATCAATGAAAAATTTGACTTTTGGAAAAAACGATCATGCTAAGAACCAACGAAACGTGTCCTTCATTAGTTTCACCTAGGGACACAGTTCAAACGGAAGTGCCGCAGAAATGAAGGGATCGGTGACGCGCTCTCCAACGCGCTGCTGCCATATTGTGTACTTAATCCGCTCAGATCTCGGCAATCCTTCATCATAGAACAAACGAAGCACATCTCGAATCTGCGAGAAATTTGCCGTGGCGTAGGATGGATCGTCATTTGAATCAACGTAAAGCACAGTCGTAATGAGAAAAAGAAGTTGAAAACGCCAAATCTTTTACCCTCTTTTCCCTCTTTTTCCCTTTTTCTAAACCAAATAAAACGCCACTCTTAATTTTTAGACATCAGTGGCTTGCGGCTCGCGCAGCTAGCAGATCGTATTAGTTTAACGTCCATCAGTGTTAATTGTTTCACAAAAAAAACCCTTTCAAAAAAAAAAATTGAGCCCAAATTTAAATAAAATCGGTTGCTTCTGGCCCTTCGCTCGCCCCAAACCACACGAGTTGTACAGATCAGGACCTGCTATCCACTCTCACCTCGAATAACAGAGTGTTCAGAGTATTCAAAAGCGTATTTTGCTGCAGAATGGCCCGCTGTACTTTTTACGGTCGCGGCGTAACGTCGCAATACCGGCGATCATGCCCCTGTAGGTAGGCAACCTTGACCACATTGCCCAATAAAAGCCCCCCCCCCGACATAATAGAACAAACCTGACTTTTTACCCACAATTTTGTATGGTCCAATCCATTTAATTTTTTTGTTAGGCCAAGAAATGTCATCACTTTCATTCTTGACTCTTACTCTGTCCATTGAATAAGTAATTTCTTGCCTACCCTTGTCATAATATTCTTTATGCTTAGCCTGGGAGGCTTAAATTTTTGTCCTTTAAATTTTTCAAAAATTTTGTATGCTTCTGAAGCTTAACTTCTAACTTTTCATCTGATGCTGGCAAAAGTTGGACAATACCGGGCACAACAGGATGAAAACCATGCACTGCATAGAACGGACTACAAGGGATAGAATCATGAAAATTTATATTGTAGAAAAACGTTGCAAACTGCAGGTAAGTTTCCCAATTTTCTTCAAATGTAGGAGAAATTCCATGAGAATATTCTTCAAGGATTGAATCGACCTTTCAACTTGGCCATTGCAATGTGGTACCTGACGGAATGCATTATGAACAACACCCCATTTATTAAGCATTTTTTGGGAAAAGCAAAAGATGTGAAATATGAGGCACCATCAGTCGTGTAGGAATCAAAGCCCAAAATTTGAAGAGTAAAATTTTTCAAGACATTCTATTGCATTTTGAGAATCTGCTTTTCTGACTGGTTTTGTCCACATAAATTTAGTGTATGCATCCACAATCACACAAAATGTTTTTTTGTTTTTGCTTGCTTTGAACTCCCCCACAAAACCCAAAAGAATTTGAGAGAACATCTTTTTTGGGCGGAGTTGGTTTCAAAAGCCCTGGTTTTGCCCTGGAATTTTCAGTAGTCATGCAGAAATGACAACTTTTTACATAAGCCAAAATGTCTTTATGCATAGTTCTCCACCAAAATAATGTAAGAATATTCTGAAGCAAATGTTTTGCACGCCTGTGCCCCCTATTGTCATGAAACTCTGATAAGACATACTTTCTACAAGAACGAGGCACAACTAAAAGCAATTTTGAATTATACTCCCAATGAAGTAGACCATCTTTTAATTTGTAGTGTTTATCTTTTGTCCCCAAGGTTTCTGATTTTACCTGCTCCCCAATTTCTGCTAGCTCTGGGTCTGAATTTTGCAAATCTCTCAGGATAGAGGACTTGTTCAAAACAAAAGTCATGAGGTCCGAATTTTCGTTGGATTTGTTCCTTTCATCCAGAAACTCTGCTTCCTCTTCAGCAGATTGATCTCTAGCAGCTTGACCTCTAGTTGAAACTGAGTTTAATTTTGACTCTCCTTGAAACCTATCAGGAAAAACTTCCTCTACAAGATCATCAACCGAACACCCTGCTTCCTCAACAGGACTACGAGAAAGACTATCTGCATCAATATTTGCTTTTCCTGGGCGATAACGAATTGTGAAACTGAACTGAGACAAGTACAGGTTTGTTTAGCAATATTCCTTCTGGCTTAGGTGTCCTAAAAAGAGATTGAAGTGACTGGTGATCTGTAAACACTTCTGTATTGACATTCCTATTCTGAAGATAGCAACGGAAATTTACAAATGCAAAAACAAGGGCTGAGCATTCTAAATAGAAAATTGGAAATTTTGTTTCAGAAGCTTTTAATTTTCTACTGGAAAAACCTACAGGGTGAAACCTTTTTGTCTGCTTATCTTGTTGGTACAGAGCTGCACCTAACCCTTTTGTATGATGCATCTACTGTAATTCTATTGTTTGCTTTTGGATCAAAGAGCCGCAAAAAGTGGACTAGATAAGGAAGACTTAAGCAATCAAAAAATTTTTGTTGTTCTTCCTCCCATTTGAATTCCACATCATTTTTCAAAAGCTTTAACAGTGGTAACGCTTTCTGCGAGTAATTCTGAATAAATCTTCTGTTGTAGCCATACACCCCTAGAGTAGTCCTTACTCATCTTTGTTCTTTGGTTCAACCATTCCTTTTGGCTTTAACTCTCCTTTCCGGAATAGCTACCTTTTTTCCCGTCTACATCAAAACCAAAAAACTGGACTCTTTTCTAAAAAAATGTGCTTTTCTTTACATTAAGCTGGATATTGTTTTCTCTGAGCAATTGAAAATATTCTCTTAGTGTCTCCACATGTTGATAAAAACTCTCAGTCCCAATGTGTGTATCATCAAGTTTTACAACCTTTTTCTGCTTTTTCATTGACATAAGGAGATGATCCATACCCAAAAGCATATAAAGCTGGGGCTATTGACAAACCTTGAGGCAGGGTTTTCCACCTATACCTTGAACCTGAAGGTGAATCAAATGCTGTCACATCTCTACACTTTGGATGAAATTTAAAGTTGAGTGTATCCGGAACAATTGTCAGTACTGAATGCCAAAACTTGCCTTGAAAAGTCAAATTTAAAACTTGCTGATCTGGAATTGGATACTTTAAATCTGTCAAAATCTTATTCCTTTCCTAAAATCTTGGACAAGCGATAGGAAGGATTTGATGGTGTATGAGATTTTTTTGGAACGACCAAAATAGGTGTACAATATACACTAGTACAAAACTCGACTAAATCTGAAGCTAATAATTTCTGAATGTACTCTTCTGCAAATTGCTTCTCATCTACACTCATCCTGTAATTTCTCTGGTTCACAGTCTTATTTTTGTCATAGTGAAATCTGATATCTGGGTAATTACACTTGGTTAATTCCGACACATCAGACACAAATACATCCTTAAATTCCAGAAGTAAATTTTTAGCTATCTCATTCTGTTCGGAAGTTAAAATTTGGGTTGAGATTAATTTTAATTTGCATCCTGTGTTGAGCTGACAAAATATTACACTAGTCCTAGGGTAAAAAACATCCCCGTGTTCCTCATCAACAGCTAAAATTAAATTAGTTGTTAGAAAAAATGGGTGGGTTTTTGGTGTTTGTGACTTGGACATTGTTTATTATCTGGGCTCAACATAAAATCTGAAACTAAAATTTTTTAATTTTTGAACAAGCTTGGGTTTCCTATGAAAACTGTGTCTTTGTCTAATCTTCCTGCCTGGGTTTTCACTCTGACCCATTTAATCTCCCTGGGTGGAATGGTAATACTGGGCATTACTGAATGGACAAACAGTGGACCGTAATACAAATTTGTAACATCTAAATCCTTAAATACATCACAGTTAAAAGTGCTGGCTGGCTCTGCTTTGTAAAAAACGCCAAATTTCACAGAATTTTTCTTAACTCGATCCCTGAAAGTAATTTGCATCAAGTCATAGTCAATCTTTGCTCTGTATTTCAAAAGAAATGGATTACCCAAAATTATTTCTGCTGACAAACCTCTGATCACAAAAAATTTTGCTGCAAACTTGATATTTGCAATTTCAAACTCACCTCTCCACACTCCATATGTTTTAAGTGGAGTCTTGTTTGCTGCTGCTAGTGACTTGCTGCATTTTGAAATCACCGCTGTTGGGAAAATATTTTTGAGTGTGTCATACTGTATACAATTTACGGCTGCCCCAGTATCTACTAATACTGAAACTTCCTGTGTCCCAAACTGTGCTGGTACCACTGAGACTAACTCAACACAGTCGTCATCCTTTTCTAAAAGAAATCTAGGTGAAGAAATTTTTTAAAGTTGTTGAGTGTAAGAATTTTGGAAAATATTCCTTGGGTTTGTGATGGGTTTTTTGCTTGTGAGGTTGATTAAATTTAGATAAATTTTTAAGCCTGACTCTATCTCTACGTGATGAGGAATTCCCCGCTGCTTTGCTGCCATTTGAATGTCGCGCCCGCCGCGCTCCGCTCGAGTCACCGCCTTGGCTCGGCTCGTCCGCGTTCTGCCCCGAGTGCTGCGCGCGCGAAACTGAACCCGGCTCGCCCTCGCCGCGAGACTCGCCCTGCTTGGCTGGAACGCGCGAAAATCCAAACGCGCTTGCTGTGCTGCACTTGACTGAAGCGGTGTCTGTACTTGGGACGGCCTGCACTACCCACATACCATCACGCTGGACCATTTTGTTTGCATCCTCTAGAAAATCCCAAGTTGACAAATCATTTTCCACAGCCAACTTCAATCCTATCACATTACCTGGTTTTTCCTCGCCAATCAAAGTGTGTCCACCATGCTGAAAAATTTCTACTGGGCAATTTAACATTTCTGAGACTGCTACTGCGTCACAAAAGTCTCCAAACGTGACTTTCGAACAAGCAAAATTTTTTGTAAGCTGTCCTTGAAGGAAATTTTTTTCCTTTAGCATCTACGGCAATTTTGCAAAATCTGTCCCCAAATTTTTGAACACAAATTTTCTGATCAATTTTCTCATTTCTTGGAACTCACTCTGTCTGCCAAAAACTGCATAACTTATACACCGAAAAAATGAATTAGAGTCATGGACCATTTGAATAGTGTGATAACACGGTTTTGTGACTTTCTCTGTCGTCCGCGACTCATCTCTCTGCTCTGTCTCTGTCTGACAAACACTACGCGCCTCCTCTCGTGGCTCTCTATCTCTCTCTCTGTCACTGGACACTGCCCTTTTCCGGGCCCGCGCTACCCCAGTCACTCTGGCGCGTGCGCTCCTCACTCTGTGAAGATCTGCAGCGTCGTCTGTCCAAACTGAATTTTACGATTTTGTCTAACACTGCTGTTTCTCTCTTTGACTGCTCTTGCTCTCTAGCCTGCTCATATTCCTCAAACATTTGGTCTGCGACATCAACCCACTTTGTCCAGTGGTCGACGTAGATTTTATCTACAGCTCGTCTAATCCACACCTCAGCTTCTGTCCCTAAAACTGCTTCAACCATTAAAACTATTCCTCGCTCCCAATTACACTCCTCAAGACGGGCACACCTTTGAAAATCTTGGAAAAATGTTCTGAAACTGTCATAATCTTTATATTTTGGGAATTTAATGGCTGGTCTGTAATTAGTCTCCACCTCAAACTTCGTTTTTTTAAAAATTTTTAATCCAATAGGATTCGGCATTTTTAATTGGCAACTTGAAAACAAAGGTTAAAAGAATTGACTGTCTGACGCTAACAGTGTACGCCGCTACTGCAGACGCCACCACCGCAACACGCTCGAGCGAAAAGTGCTTGTGTCATCTTTGACACGCCGCGCCGCGCATCTGACTGCTGCCCATGTCGCTCCGCAAAAAAAAACTAAACCTACTTAAAACAATAAAGAAAACTCTCGGAGGAAAATTCTTATTGGCTTTCAAATAGAAAAAGTAAATACTACTTGCAAAAAAAAATTCACACTATCACACACACACACACACACACAAACACAAAAATCGCTTGAAAATCACTTTACAACAAATTCACTCGGCACATGCATTTCTGCGTTTTGTAGCCTAGAAAGTAACTTGACTGCAAACTGACTTACAAACTAAAGCAAATACGGGCCTACAAATTTTTGCGTCGAAAAAAAAGCGCACCAAAACTTCGCAATTACAGTGATTAACTGTTTACAAAAGTTTACCCACTATTGGCGACTGCACGATATCGTATACAGGAGCAGTGGGGAGACGGTCGGGAAGGAAAGGTACTTCTTTAACGAGACATTCGTACTCAGTTAAAGCCGTCGCAACCTCCACCAAGTCGTATAATGCGCGCTGTCGGTGTACTTGTAGTTGGAGGGTTTAAATGTAATAACTCCTACTAAACCGAACCAGTCGCTTACGGCTGAGTGTTGCTCGGACGGGGGGATCAAGGCTATGCTAACTGAGTAAATAGGACTTGAATCTTTGGGAAAGGAGGAACCACCAAGTACTCACTCCAGATGTGGTGCTGTCGAAGGCCCTGACACGTCTGCCTGCGTGTCGCTACCCGCGAGCTGGCCAAGCCCAGAATCGCAAGCTAAGCAACAGTGTCGCCAGTTCGTCTTTTCTAGCCCGCGCGATTCAAACTCGCGCCATCCCTGAAACACACTGAAGCTCGTAGGAGGGCACGGGCGCAAACCCCACTCCGAAATCAAATGCCACGAAGCTACGCACCACTGTCACTTTGCAACAAGAACACAGCACAATAACCACGACACACACGACGCAAATCTGGGCACGAACGCGCGATGGGGTCGGAGGGAATGACCAAACGCTGCGCGGAACGGTGCGTGTTGGCTCAAGCTAATCCCGACCTCGACTGACGCACGCCGTCCTCCAGCCCCTCCGAGGCCCCGTTCTCCTCATTTCTTCTCCCCACGCGTCACGGCCATCCAATGAGAGATCAGCGGAAATCACGCGGACTTGCCATGCGACCCTTGAGGTCCGGCGTGTCTGCCGCCGGCGCGCTCTCGACGCGCTCTCGGCGCGCTTGCAAGCCGAGCCCATGACCCGCATTCCAGAACACAACACCGCCCTTGTCCTTCAAGGCCGCAAGACGCGTGCGGCGGAGCCTTCGAACTGCGCGCGAAAAACACTGGGGAACACCTGCAAACTTATCCTCGGCAAAGAAGGTCGTGTCCCGATTTTGAACCGACTCTGTACGACCGATAGGAGAGGAGATGCACGGTGAAAACTCTACGAAGAATCGCTATGTAATACGAACAAAATGAAGACATTGTAAAATCTACGAAGAAATGCTTTGTATTATGAAGCAAAATCCTTTGTAATACGAAGCATTCCTTCATAATACGAAGCAATTCTGTAACGCCTTCATTTTCTTCGTAGTTATGAAACAAATGCTTCGTAGGCTTTTAAGAATGTACTGGATAAAAAATGTACACTGATTTTGAAAGCAGAGATCTTTTCGGAAAACCAACCGAACAAACCATTTCCTTACAATCGTTGTGAATGGTTCGCTAACCGTTAGACACCACACCAAGAATCACGGCAAGAGGCGATTTCAGAGCCAAAACCATCGCAACTAAGCCCTTTTCGCGGCGCTTGGGCCCGTTCCTAAATTTGCGGAGGAAAGACAGAAGCGACCCCACTGTTAAAGAAGTATTGAAGGAAAGCTAATTGTATACATTCTGGAGCAAACCGGGCCCTCGACCGGGCCAAGAGCCCGACGCCGCATGGTCATGACACAATGGAGAGGGTTGAATTTAGGAAATTGTACGCTACACCACTGAGAATGAAAAGGTCATGATCAATACCCAATTTTGGGCGAGGTATACTTAATCACCCAAATTTGGGCGAGGAAGGCTTCCTCGGCCAAAATTGGGTGCATCAGCTACCTATATGGCTCCATAGTATTATGGCCCTAATTTGGGTAGGCCTAAGGAAACCTCCCTCACCAAAATTGGGCGAGGAAACCTTTCTCACCCAAATTTGGGCGATAAAGAATTCCTCGCCCAAAATTTTAGTCATGATCATGACTCTTTCATTCTCAGTGTACCCTGAGATAAGGGCGTGGCCCGTAGAAGAAGCGGGACCCCGCACTGTGGCTAAAAGCTACGGAATTAAAATTCTGTAAATAGGTTGTGGTAATTCTCCGCAGGCCCCTTGTCAGTATTCTCTGTGGGCTCTTACAGTATTTTCCGTAGGACCGCACAGTATTCTCCGTAGGACCTTACAGTGTTCCCCGTAGGGCTACACTGAAAATCCAAGTGTGGGACAGGCATGCACTAGATAACGTGGGACAAACTGTCCCACGCTTGTAAGCGTGGGACAAACCGTGTTACACGCTTACAAGCGTGGGACAAACCGTGTTACACGCTTACAAGCGTGGGACAAACCGTGTTACACGCTTACAAGCGTGGGACAAACCGTGTTACACGCTTACAAGCGTGGGACAAACCGTGTTACACGCTTACAAGCGTGGGACAAACCGTGTTACACGCTTGTAAGCGTGGGACAAATCCGTGTCCCACGCTTGCAAGCGTGGGACACTTTGTCGCACGCTTACAAGCGTGGGACATTTTGTCCCACGTTATCTAGTGCATGCCTGTCCCACACCTGGATTTTTAGTGTATACAGTCTTCCAGGCCATACGGAGAAGACTGTGCGGTCCTACGGAGAATACGGTACGGCCCTACGGAGAATACTGTGAGCCTACGGAGAATATTGATAAGAGGGCTACGGAGAATCCTGGCAAAAAAAATTAACAGAATTTTCCGTACATTTTTGCCACAGTGCGGTGTTGATGGGACCCTGCACTTCTTCCGCATGCAATGCCGCTTTTCACATCGATAGTTAAGGCCAAAAGAAACGTTTTGACAGACGCATTTTAGCAGATGATTGTTAAATCAGCTAGCTTTTGATCGCAGCCAACAGTTTTGCAATCAGACGTATACCAAAGCAAGTGCAAATGCAGCAATAGCACATAGCAGTTAAACAGTTGTAGCGAGAAGTAAGTAGCAGTTGTGGCAGAGGCAGTGGCATCGGATACCGTAAACCGGGGTAACTTGAGACAGCAAGGGTAACTTGAGACACTTCTGCTTTTCCACCTTTTTGGAGCTGCCACCTGGCTCGGCACATTCGGAGGTCAAAACAACTGCCCTAGCACTTTTTTTCATACTTGTTTGGAAAGACGATTAAGCGTGTGAACGGCGGGTTAGGACCAAGCTGGTCAGATCTAAACGATTTTTCAATTTTAGTAAATTGAACAATTTTAGAGAGGTGTTACAAGTCTCCCTTGGTACTCGAAACACGTCTTGCTGAGACCCAAATGACTGTAGTACCTTTCAACCCTATTATTTCAACATTCTAAATGCAGCATTGGTTTTGAGGGAAACCCATCATTCATCGGGTAATACTGACTTTTATAGAAAATGGTAACTGTGCGGGGTAACTTCAGACACCAAATTTCATTGAATTTGACGGAAGTTGAGTGGCGTAACTTGACACTGGCACCTCCTTGTACTACAGGGTGGTTTAAAGTAACGGACCTCTCAGTTCTAAGATCAAAACTAAGCCGCATTTGATCGGGAATCACTTTTTTAGACAGTGTAGAGAGTCCCAAGTGGATATGCAGCTTAAAGTTGGAGTGTTTTCTCAACTACACACGGACCAGATGAGATATAATAAATCTTGAGGTCTCAAAAGATGGGGAATTGAATTACCTTTCCAACGAGCTAAATGTCATTGAAATCGGACAACTTATAGCCCAAGAACCGTCGATTTTTTGAAGAAAAACAGCTGTAAAAATAGTTAAAGGATTTTGTGTAAATTTTAAAAATTGACTAAGACTATATACCTTTGCAGGAATGGACTTGTGTACGTAGAAATAAAGAAAAATGTCTTAACAGGTGTCAGGGTTGGATGTGAAATAAGAGAATCGCTGTACTTGGTTGACAGAGTTGGATGTGAAATGGGAGAATCGTTGCGCTTCTGAAGTGCCGTTATCCCTCAAATTAGCAAATGTAACCTTGATGAAAAAAACTTAATATAAGGATCAAAAATCTTCTAATATATTCCACAAGTAGTACTTTTCATTGAAAATGAGTTAAGTGTCTCAGAAAATCAGTATGGACTGGCAAAAACCCCACTTTCCGTGAAAAAGCAAAGTAAAAACTAGGTGTGTCTCAAGTTACCCCAAATGACGGGGTAACTTGAGACAACTTTAGAAGCCCATTACTCTCATTTTAGGAGACCCCCAAAAAATTCGTGGGGTCCAAACCGAATGTAATCATGTGAAATAAAACATAGTTGGGATTCAGGTTGGTGAGAGAAGTTTTGTGGACACACGGTCCAAAAAACGTGAAATATTGTCTCAAGTTACCTCGGTTTACGGTACCCAACCCGACAGCGATAAGCAGCGCTGAGCAGCCGCCTCGGTCCTCAGCCCCAAGCCCCCACCCCCACCCCGCATCCATACTCTTCTCTACACAGGCGGAGGCTGTCGTGGCGTCCCGGCGTCCCGGCGTCCCCAGATTTTGCGCTTTTTCGCCTCTAGCGGTCGAACGATCAATTTTACATATACACAACCCTTATAATGTTTTAATCGTATCCTCCCGTTCTTGGCAATGCACCATTCAAATTTTCAAAATTCAAAATATTAAAATTGGTTGTCGTATTAGCATGACTTCTGGTGCTGCGTTTCCGCCTTCAAGCACAATGCGGGATTAAACTTGATAGGGCGGCTGGTCGAGCGTTGCATATGAGAAACTTGTTCGCACAGAACCTTCAATAGTTAAATCAAAATTAACATTTTCGTCCATTAAACCATGCACGTGTAAATCATGAATTGCGAGACACTAAAAGTAACATTCTCGTCAGTGTCATCTGCTTTCACGTTAGCGTTAACGTTTTTTTTTTTTGTCTCTTAGGAAAAAATTATAAGGGGTTGAATTTACATGGCGCCTTTCGGGAATTCCGGGTAGGCAATGCGCAGCACGCGGCAGTTGGAATTTCCGAACCAAACTTTTAGGGTCGCTTAAGAAGGGTCCAAAGACCACGTTGCCGTCGAGCACTTTTCAAAATTGTGACAGAAGCGGATTCTGCAGTACCTCAAAGTCCAAATTTCGGAAAATTTAACAGGCGGGTGTTCAAAGCCGTCCAAATCTTTAATGGTGCTCAGAATAAGTTGCGTTTTCGACGGGAACGACCAAGTGGAGTATTCTGAACACGCGCCAGGTGGTCGATTTTTCAACTTTGACCAGGAGTTTGAGGTAGTTGACACTTTTTGGACATTGCAGATCGGTCGGCGAGACGCGAGGGCGCTGCATTGACACGCACAAGGCTTTTCGACTATATATCTGACGCAAATATGAAGCGTCTTGCGCCGTAAACTATGCCACAATCAGAACCAAATGTCCAATTTTGATACGGGTGGGATCAGAACATGGTGGGCAACTAGCAATCCAGGTTTCAAGTATCGGAATACTAAGAGAATGTACCCCCAACGCGGGGTTTTACATGAACCTGTACATCTGCCTTGGCTTGGAAGCGCCGAAAACGCCAAACATCCGTATTTCCGCACTGGTGGTTTCCCCTGAGGAGGCAACTCGCGACTCACGACCCTAGATAATGCCGCGATTCCACAAATTTTTCCGCGGACCAAAATGGGGTCGCGAGCCCGGGGTTGGGAACCACTGCCCTACACTCTAAATGTCTAACAATGAAATTTGACCTATGTTATTCGTATGTTACAGTGAATTCGGCGCAAGCATAATACGAAGCGATATTCCTTCGTAATACGAACCTTTTTACCTTTTTCACTGTAAGATACAAAGAAAAACCTTCGTAGTACGAAGAAAAACCACCTTTGTATTATGCTTGCGCCTTTTCCTTCGTAATATGGGAAATTTCTTCGTAGGACATTTAGAGTTTAGCTATTCTGTACAGTAAAGAGTATGCCGGAAGCATACCGTCATTAAGAGTGTACTGTGTACACACTTGAGTTTTCAGAATCGTGGAAGCGGCCGATTTGTGTCACGACAAGAGGCAAATAACATCGAAAAATTGTGTTCACCATTATTTCAAATTCAAGTTATTTCACCTTATTTCAAGAGTACTTCGACGCTTTCACGTCATTTTACGTTGCTTCACGTTAGGAGCCGTGCACAAATAACATCACGAGGGGGCGTGGGGGTCCACCCGGACGTGATGTGACGTGGGTAGTCGAGCCCTTGTGACGTTATTTTCTTAAAAAAAACCATTAAATCACCTTTTCCCGCAAACGACGGCGGCGCTACGCTACTCCACTGCACACTCGCCGCTGCACTGCGCTGCGCAAACCGCGCGCTCTGTCAAAAGACGTTTCAATTAAATTTGAGCCCTGCAATTTTGTACTTTGGGCAAAATTCTAATGAAAACACAACTTTTGACAGCTAGCATATGTTTTCTTCCACATCCCTATAAATATCGTCACTAGGGGGGAGCGGGGGTTTCGCTTGATGTGACGAAATAAGACGATGGGGGAAGGGGGTCAAAAATGGCCAAAAAACGCGTGACGTAATTTGTGCACGGCCCATTATTTCAACGTTAGTTCACGTTCTTTTCAAGTTATTTCACTTTATTTGAACTTGTCAACGGTGCTAGTTTCGAGCGAATCGAGGAAGTTTGGACCCGGCTTCAAATCCCACTAGGGTATATTCCGACCATTTGTTTTACAAGTTTTTGCATTATTTTTCATGTTTCTGAGGGCGCTGATGACGAAAATAACATCTATTTTGTCCCCAGACCCAGGATCAAATCTCCTTAGATGTTAAACATACACTCTAAATGTCTTACGAAGAAATTTCCCATAATACGAAGGAAATGGCGCAAGCATAATACGAAGGTGGTTTTCCTTCGTATTACGAAGGTTTTTCTTTGTATCTTACAATGAAAAAGCTAAAAAGATTCGTATTACGAAGGAATATTGCTTCGTATTATGCTTGCGCCGAATTCACTGTAACATACGAATAACACAGGTCAAATTTCATTGTAAGACATTTAGAGTGTAGGCGAAATACGCACATTTCTTAATATACAGACGGGACGGGCCAAAGTTGCCGGTTTGTGTCGCTACTTTTCCTGTTATTGCCGTACAGTGTGCGACGGTGACCGGCAATACATGCGTTTCAGGAATGAGACACCATTTCGCGGAAAGCAACGGTACCACCTGCCACTGGTATTCGCTTCACCAATGAGACGGCATTCTAGTCTACGTTGGTGCAGTATAAAAGCGCCCTTTAACTTGGAGGCAACATCGACCTCTCGTCCAGATCACTAGCCATGGCTTGTAAGATCGTCATCGTCCTCTGCTTCGCGCTGTTCGCAGCTGCTGTAAGTGAAAACGGAGACAGCATAAGCATGGCACTCTTTCAGGGGAACCCGACATTTCGAGGGGGCAACCACTCACGCAAATTCGGTGTACACTTGAGTGGTCAAATCCGTTAAAAATCTCTTGATACCATCTCGAAACCCGACAAAATCTTGCGAAATCCCATCAGAATCTCGCAAAATTTTGCACAAATAATGTCGAAAAATTCTTTGAAATCTTCCTAAGAGTTCTTGAGAAGCCCCTTCCTTTGAAGAATCCTTATTACCATGAAATTACAAGTGGTTGCCCCCTCGAGATATTTGTTCGTCGGTGAAGTGCTCGCATTTCGTGATAATTAACTCAGGCCCTGACACTGTCATTCATTTTCCGATACTTTTACTACAAATTTTTGCGATAAAACCTAGTTTGCGATTCCCACGATTTATCGTAACCTGGATGCGATAATTTTGTTTTTGCCCTTTTTTGCAATAGCCACCCCACAATTTTTCCGACAATAGAGCGTTTTGTAGTAACGTTTATCACATTTTTTTCTGCGAAAACTTTTTATAGCATTTTCTTTGTAGTCATTATCGCAAAAATGTGGTACTGTATTGCAAAATTTAGCTATAAATTTTTTATTGCAGATATTTAGTTGTCATCATAGCAAAAAAATGTGATAAGTTTTTTATTGCAAAATATAGACAGTCGTTATCGCAGTTTGAATAACAGTGTAGGCTGCCTTAGTTATTACACCTAAAAACAGTACAATGTATGTTGAGTGGAGGCATCACAATGAGTTCATTTTGTTTCAGGTGGCGAAGGTGAGCGTCTCCAACATGGAAGTGGGCGCAGGGATCCCGATCGTAACACGAGTGCCACTTTAGCATAAGGTCCACGGGCAGGCACAAGTTCTAAATTTCAGACTAATTGATGGGCACACCCTATGCTCTTTTTAAACTTAAAAAAAAATAATCAAAAATTGACAAAGAAGTACCGCTGAAACAACTTAGTTACTATAAGGTCAAGAAATTTTGAGTCACCTCATTTTGTTACGTAGCCAAGGTTTTTTTTAGACTCCTGAAGGGGAAATGCAGTGCAAATGGATAAAAAGTGAATAGTTTCAACTTTTTCCGCCTTCAGGAACCTGTTTGAAAAACATTCCAGGAGTGTGATAAGATGTCACACTCCTTTATGAGCGTTGTGTCACGCTTATTCGAATGTGAATTAGTAAATTATGGCTGATTCACATTTGGACGAGCGTGTCACAATGCTGAAAGGAGCGCGACATTAGTACACTCTGCAAACTAAAGTGTATACATAGTACACTCTTACTAAAGCATGCTTCGAAGTACACTCTCATTTTCAGCATACTTGCTAGGCACACGCCAAAATCCGAGCCAAAATCAGTGTGTGCCTGGCATGTACACGCTAAACAAGAGTGTACCTTGCAAGTACACGCTAAAATACACTCGATTAGTCCTCTCTAAAAGCATGGGTCAGTTTAAGTGTACTTGCGAGGTACACTTTATTTAGCGTGTACTTTATTTTAGCGTGTGCCTAGCAAGTATTCTGTAAATAAGAGTGTGCTTGGAAACATGCTCTAATAAGAGTGTACTATCTACACACTTCAGTTTGCAGAGAATTTTTCCTTTGTACAGTTCTTTTGAAAAATTGTTTTGCGAGGTCTCCACAATTTTGCGCATGCTTGTGAACTTGTGGGATTCTGCGTAAAAATTTGTACGAAATAGTTCGCATGTCTTGCTTTGCGGGGGCCACCGTGCCACAGTGACAAGAGACAATGGATGGAGCAGAACTCGTACACTGGATTAATCTATGCCTGCTCTGATGCTACGCCTCCAGAGCCTCTACAACGACGACCAGGTGGCTGACCTCGACGGCCGCATCGCCCAGTGCCTGAACCGCCTGCCTGCCGGGCCCAGCAATGCCTGCCGCCTCAGTGCGGGGACCACCCCCATCAAGGAGGGAGCCAGGAGGGAGTACCGCGTCGAGCCGATCGTCGAGTGCTTGACCAAGGCCGGCATCCCGCAGGGACCGGCCCTCAAGTCGGCCAAGTACTGCCTGACCTTGGAGCTGTGGAAGCCTATTTAGACAGCTGTGCCAATTTCGGGTCCGTGTCTAGTTTTACCGAATATATAGACTTGTCTGGACTCTAGCCACTTGATTTTCATTTCATTTTTTCTCAGAAGTTGCCTTTATTGCTTAACTCAACTTTGGGCGTATTAAAAAAGAAACATACCAGAAATGAAGAGATTACGAAAATACCCACATTTGTCGTGCTTCTAGGAACTCATTGCAACGGAGGCTGCAGTAGCGCAAAACGAGTCCGTGACATCGTTTCCCACAGACTCCTACGGGCTCCTGGACCTCCTTTCCGACCCCTCACTGAAAATGTCTTGCCGAGACGAATCGAAAACTGCAATATATTTTTCAATCGGTTGAACCCTTTTTTCTAAAATCCTGATCTTGCGAACTGCCGAAGTCGGGCTGCTGGACCCCCTCTAAACCCCTCCTTGCAAAAGTCTTCGAAAACCCGCAATAAAAATTTTCAGTCGGCCGAGCCCCGTTTTTCTAAATCTTGACCGGGTTAACTGGTGAAGTTAGTCTCCTGGAACCCCCTTCCCACCCCTCGTTGGAAAGGAATTGCCGAGACTTATCGAAAACCGCAATAAAAATTTTCAGTCGATCGCGAAGAGGTGGTCAACTTGTGAAAGTGGCCGATTAGGTCGAAACCGGGTTCATTGAGTTTGCCTCGTCCCCCCGATCCCAAAAATTACCCAATACCGTAATTGTGGGTTATATGGACCACTTTTCGATTTTTTTTAAGAATTACTGAAAGCTGAAATGTGCTGCGGTCTTGCCAATTTAAATATAATATCTACCATCCTTCCCGCGTGTTTTGGCCCAAACGGCATGTTATTAGCCTGCTTCTTTGCAGAGTAACAGCTGTGCAAAGAGTGGTCCGTATTACCCCAGTGTGGGGTAATATGGACCACCCCTAGAATTTTTCAGCTATGAAGGGTGATTCGGGTTTCCAATTGGCTTCAAAGAATTGTAAAAGCTTTTTGGAGTGTGTTGGTCTTGGGTGCCTTACTTGAATCTCATGATAGGAGGTCCTGCGCCATCAAAGTAGGGATTTTTGATAAAAGTGAAACTTTGTGGAATTTGACATTAATACAGCTCCTGTGGCGTATCTATTAAAAACCGTGAAACGCAACCAATCTAAACTAGTTTAAATTTCGATTTCGAAGACAAAACACTTAAAACTTTTCTCAGTATCTGCCATTTAACGTGGTCCAAATTACCATGTAAAGTTACAATTTTTCAGTTTTTAGTTCATAAGTCATCAACAACTCGATGGTGAGAGGCAAGTTTCGACAGACGTAGTCTCAAAACATGAGGGAAGAAGAAAAAATACCAAACGGCAACATTATTTGTAGTTGATGCTCCACAACTATAGTTTATCATTAAAAGTCCAAAAACGCCAAAAAATAAATTTCTTAAAATTTGCTGTAAATCGAGCTGATATCTCACTGTGAGTCTTGGAGCACCGTCTCATTGGCATTATTTGAGTCACGGCACATGCAAGTTCGGTTGTTAGTGCCAGAAACTGTTTTCGAGGCCTCTGCTAGGCGGCAGCACCGATCGCAGAGAAGAATGTCGATGCTGGTCCACATTACCCACTGTGGTACCCGCCGTGTCGGCGGGTAACTGCGCGCAACTTATGGCCGAGATCCTCCACCCGCTCATGTAAACCATGATGCACCTGCAGCAGCCGTTGCGCCCCTCCTACGGGATTTGCACCAGCGGATTGTTTTTTCGGACTGACGACGACGACCGACACACACTAAGGCAAATGCGAGGGCAAATGCATAGGCCCCTTCGCTTATTTCTTTAATAGAGCGGCGGGCCAAGTGGTCCGATTTCATTGAATAACTCCACCCAAAAGATGCTCGAGACATCAATGAAGTCTGAGGCCGCACTGACGGAACAGTGTTCAGGGTGATTTCTCAGGTAACCTTATCGGCACCTTCTAAATCAAGCGAAGCAAG